TTAAGATCTGCAGACTCAGTGATTACTTTTAAAAAACAGCTAAAAACACATCTTTTTAAAATTGCATTTTGTTAACTTTTGACTGTTTTTGGTTTGTTTGTTTTTTACCTTGTAAAGCACTTTGTGATCTTTTATCTAGAAATGTGCTATATAAATAAAATTTTACTTACTTACTTGCTAACATTAGCCAGTTTAGTGTAAACAACACTTAACTGGCTAATGTAAGGCTTGTGAAACTTATGGTAGCATCTAGCATCTCACATTATTAGCAATGACTACTCTAAAAACCATTTACATACAGAGATGTCTAACATCTGGAAAGGATGTTGATTTGTACTCAGTAATGAGGATGAAAAATACTTTGATAGGGATGCTCTCCCATTAATTATTGCATTAACGTGGCATGGAGACAATCCCCTTGTAGCTTTGGAGGTGATTTGAAGCCCAGGTTGCTTTGATGACAGTTTTTATTTTGGGGTCAGATGTTTCTTATCTTCCATCCTGGCTTTTAACTCTGTGGGTGACTGACAGCACTTTAAAAACACACCTGGTAGACCAAAGTGCTGTACAAATAAATGAATGAATAAATAAATACTATGTTCTGTGTTGTCATGACCACCTTTTCTATCCCATTTAATCTACTTTCTATTAAAGTGATCAGATGTAGCACTCAGCGAGCATCCAGCCGTTTCTGTGACCTTCTGTGGCTTACCCTCCTGTGCAGGGTTCTGACGTCAACATGGACCAAAATCTAAGATGTTTCCAGCACCTGGTTGAATCTAAGACAGACCCATAGCAGCCTGTTAAAGCGTACATGCTTCAGTGGTATGTGCAGGCCCTCTGCCTGCGAGTCTGAGGGTTCAGTGCAGCATCTCAGCTGATCCTGGGACTGCACTCTTCTGCACAGAGACGAGATGTTGTGTATGAAATCTGATCAGCTGTAACGTTCTTGATCTACCTTCAGCTTTCATATACTCATCAAGCTGTAAAGAGCAATGCTGTCTTTTATTTGGCAGTGCTAGTAAGTGTGTGTAATCACATACATACAAAAAACATAAAAAGTCAGATATTGAGCCAAGCTTCTTCCTGTAATCTATCACCTGTCAGTGTGATGGGGTTTGTTTGTTTTAACCCTTTAAAGGAGTGAAATAACCGTGACAGATCAAAGCAGTGCAGCAAAGCAGGCACAACAGACAGAACAGCAAGGAGGAGCAAACAGGGAAACACTCACCTCTGTCTCCTGCAGGATGTTGACGTAGTCAGGGACAGTCATGCTGACAGAGTATTTTAGTTGCTGAAAGGAAGCACTCTGAGGCACCCTCAGAGGTACACCATCCATGCTGCTCAGTCCACTGAGAAAACAAAGATCAGTCAGCCATAGAACAACTCACACAATCCCTCAGCTGTGGGTCTGTAACGTGGACCGCTCCCTAAAAGGAAACAACAATCTGTATTTCCACAAGCTCAGAGAGCTGCAGCGTTCAGGCCGCGGCTTGTTCTAACCTCAGCTCTAGTGTGCACTCCACTTCTGCTGACCTTTTGTCTGCTTTTATATTAGAGTCAGTGATGATGCCTCCCACGAGAAGCCTGAAGATTTCCATTAGGCCAAATAAAACACCGTCATTTCTCTGTAATCTGTCAAACATTATTGTTAATATATTCAATAAAGTTATAAAAACAATTAACATTATGTGATAACTGGGTTATTATCATTCCTTTTAATGCTTTTTGTATTTACTTTTTCCAGCATGTGAAGAAAGGTAAGAGCATCGCTGCTCTGAGTGCTGGATCAACAACTGTCGAATGTTTCTGCAGTAATCAGATCCTCCTCAGAGGGGATTCCTCTGAACCTCAGCAGGCAATTCTCATCTTCATGAAGCTGTTCAGTCAGTACAGGTTGTCATCATCAATCCATAAATCTTCCTTCAACTACTCTTTTTGTCAAACAGCACAGTTTTAGTGTAAGGTTGTGTTCTCCATGCTCAGCCAGGCTTGAATAAAGATGTCAGACTGCCAACAACAGGTACTCTATCATTACTGTGCATCAGTAGGAATGATGCAGCCTCTGTTATCCTCCTCTAGGCTCATAGAAACTACTTCTATCCGGACAAGGATGAAGAAGAGCTCTGCTGAAGTGTTTATCACATTCACAAACAGCAGAGCATGAAACAGCGAGAAAGGATTCTCCTAGAAAACCGTCATCATGAGCTTTTCCTTTCTGTCATCTCGAGCTCAGATCAGAGACGGCTTCTTTCACAAACAAACAAACCTACAGTTTGTCTGTAGGTGTTAAAGTGTGTGAGAGAGATGGTACAGACAACTCTGTGCACTCAGCACTAATCAGGTTTGTGCAGCACGAAGACGCAGCCAGCAGACAGATGGCCGAGGACTCGCAGCACCAAAGAGCACAGATGCTGCAGGCTTTGTGTGTCACCTCTGACGCTCTGCTGCTGAACAAATAAGAACTAATGTGTATAATAATGTGTATAATAATGTGTATAATAATGTGTATATGACTATTGCTAAGTTCAAAAGCTGTGCAAGACTTAAGACAAGTATAATTATCTGACGCTGCACACTCACTACTCTGTAAGTCACTATAGCAGACTGTGTGCCTTTCATAAATACAATAACATGTGCTCTAAATCCCCCACTCTCCCTACACACACACATATACACACACACACATACACATATACATATACGTATACACACACGCAGAGAGATCTAATGAAACACTGTTTAAAACAGAAGAAAGCTCACCCTTGTGTCTGTGTGTGGTCAGAGCTGCAGTCACTTGGCTTGTGATGCATCACTCATCACTCAGAGAACCACCTGGGACACTAATCCACTGATCTCCAGTAACCCTCATCAGCTGACTTACTGTGTACACAGCTGACAGCTCGACAGAAGCAAGT